TAATAAAATACTCATGTATGACAAGCGACAAAGGATTTGGACAAGGAAATTAACTCAGATAAAACTGTTACAAAATGGGACCAATTGCCACCTCAGTTGTCAAGGAAAAAGACCTGTAAGACCATGCAATTGTTTTAGCAACAGGTCAACACATGGACTACAAGCTTACAAATACTTGGTAATGAAAAAAACAAAAACCACAACAGTATTTGCTCTTCACAGCCCTATCCAGCTAGAGTTATTCCAAGTGCAAGTATCGTTTTAGCAGGCCTTAAATATTTCACATAATCCTACCTCAATTTCACAATTTATTAAAATTACAAGTACAGATAGTAATTTAAAACTATATTTAGACCTCTTCTTTCTTACAGGCCTGCTAAACTGCTGGATTCTGACCTGCTCAGGTGTCCCCAAGTGCATAACAGTTACACTCCAAAGCAGATAACACAGCTGAACAGCTTCCAACAAATTCCCACCTGGTATGTTCTGTTTCCTTCCTATTATCCATTAGAGACTAAGCTTGATGCCTCCTTTCTAAGTCAGTCGTTACATGGTCTAACATGATTCCTTTGAATTTCATGTTGATAACAGATATCATTTTTGTCATCAGGCTCATTTCATGACTGCTGCTACAAAGACCTCTCAGCCAACATCCATGCAGATGCCTTCACACCACCTTTGTGACCTGCAAAATACAGGCTCAGTTTTCCTGGCCTGGCACCTGGCTGCACATTGTGCTAGAAATGCTGAGAGCATGAGATGCTGCAGGACATGGTAAGCAATTAAAGTGATGCCAAAATGTTTATGAGAGAGGCTGATACAATATAGGTATGCAAAGAACATGAAATATTGGCTCAATACAGTCAGTTCATTAAAGTTGTGTTTCTTAGAAAATATATTTAAAACACTATACTAAAATGAAACTCTGCTAAATTGCACTGCCTTTAGGAAAATAATTTTTCATTTGGAGAGCCCTCAGAAAGCTACATAATCTGAGGAAGGTAATTACAGAAAAGGAACCTGTGGTAAATTGTCTTTATTCTGCTATAGAGATCATCATCACTGCAAAAACTGTAGAAGTTTAGGAGCAATTTAAAAACTAATAGGTTCCATTGTATACGTCCTTCCACATAGAGTGATGCTAGAGGAAGGAGCTCTAAGTGCTCTGATCACAGTCTGATTATATTTGGTTTACAAAATATTCTCCAGTCATTGAGGTGAGGGAATATAAGGAAACATTAAATCCCTCATTTTGAATGAAACGGATCTGGAAAAATATCCCAGTATAAATTTCCCTTATGAAAAAATAAAAGAGAGGAAATGGGAACGTAGCCACCATTCAATTCATCATCTTGGCTCTTCTACTGGCCCTGTCAGACAGGTTTCTTCAGAAATGATAATTGCAGTCTACAGGATGAGTGTTAAAGTATCCGAAGCTTAAAAAAAAAAAAGCAAATACTCTCAAATGAGATGTATTAAAAGGGACCATAAGGAAGCAGATGTCACAACGACAAAGGAAGCCAGTTTTTCTGGTAAAAATACACAGCAATGATCCAGTATAAGGCTGAACAAATGTCAAGAGGGAAAAAAAATCAGGCATGCAGATGTTTGTATTCTGTCATGTTCTAACACAGGTATTCCTAATTTGAGAGCTGACAATGAACCAAATTCCAGTTTTAGCCAAGCACTGCTCTGGATATTATAGCATCTAAACTGCTGTCCACATTTGCTTCTCTACAAGACCCTTCATATCCATAAAATCACTGTGGAACAGATGGCACTTCTAGAAGGAAGAAGTAGCTTTCAACCATGGCTAGGGAATATTTGTCTAAAATGTCCCTATTGTAACTACATATATATAATATAAATATTGTAGCTATATATATGTGTGTATATATATATATATGTAAATCATTTGCTTTTAAATTTGCTATCTAAGCATTCAAAAAAAAAAAAAACGAGAGAGAGAGAGAAACAATGAATAATCTAATAAAACAATCTTATGAAATAGATAAATATACTTATCTGCAAAACACCACAAGTTTAAAATCACTATTTGCAAGCTTATGTCTACAGAAATTCCATAAATTGAGTGGGTCGCTGAATCTGGACTCCAAGTTCATTTGCTTCAGTGTCAAGAACTTTATATTCACCACTATTCAATCATAATTTGTCTAATTGTGAGTAATCCTGAATTTGTAAACACTGGATTACATACAAGATACACTTACCACTGAAAAACGTCCTGGACAGTGGCTGCTTCCACAGGACTGGAGTTCTAATGCACGGGTTCTCACGTATGAGGAAGTTACAGCCAGTCAGGAAACTGTAAATACAATATACAACAGACAGAGGCTCAAGTACAAATGTTTTATGATGCAAATGTAAACAGAATATTCAGAGGCTGGGCAGCACAGAGGGAAAAATTCCCCTCAAAGAACCAAGATTCATAAAATAAAGCATTAAAATTCATATTGAATCCATTTTCCTCAGGCCTACCTCCTCCTCTTCCAATAAATCAAAAAATCCACCTGCTTCTGCAGATACCTCATTGTTTAATGATGTATCTGGTTTGCTTTTCTTACCCCCATGTATTTGTACTTTCTTATCAAAACATGAATACATGTTCCTTTACTCTATGATAACAGTGATGCTCTTTTGAGTACAGTGCTTGCTAACGTCACGTACCCTATCTCAGGCTGTTTGGAGTTGTAATATATTGGTTACTGTGAATACAACTTGAGCCTTTAAAAGAGCAAGTCAGTGTTATCCAATGTAATCTTTGATTTTATGCACTACCCTGGTCTACAAGCCCAACAATCTATTTGTTATTTTTTTTTAAAGTGACTAAAACCAGTGAGTTACTCTTCTCTAGATCAGCTTCCAGTTTAATGTTGGATTTGACCCAACAGCACGCAAACAACTACTCCAAGATCAATTAATGACTTGTATTTTACAGGGGAAGGTATAAGAATGTCTAAAGCAAAATTCCTATATTTGGAGGAATGGCAAGCAGCATAAATACTGACATTATCTTCTGCAACAACATGACTAATATGTATTTACATCCACCCAAAGGTAGTGCTTATTACAAAGTGGCATCCAGCCACGCTGATCAAAACAAACTCTGCTTGTAAACGTGGTAAAGTTCTGTAATGAGATCATTACAAAACGATCTGGCATTATTCCACCTCCAGGAGGCTACCACACATGCAGGCGCCATTTAAGAGCCACAACTCTTTTAAGATACACTCACAAATTGGGTTCTCACATCTCCTGCCTTTCTCAGCACGCCGACGCGGAGATGGCAAACGTAGAAAAGTTATGGAACCCACAAATAAGTTCTGCCATTTCTTAGGCCAGATGGTGTTGTTGGGAAAGTAATGAGTGCCAGGATGCAAACATGACAGCTGAGGCCTTCGTTTGGCACCGTGACCTTTCACCTCTTAACATCAGATGCACGCTAAGATCAGAGTTACTTCATTAACTTACGGCCTACTGCATCACTAGGATGATTCAGTTCCAGGAAACGATTATCATTCTTTCATATTTTTAAGAATGAATTTCAGCTATCTCACGAGTTTCAAGCAGATTCTATATTTAGGAAATAAGGAGTCTATGCATAGATTTCTTGTCCAGAAACCACGCAGTGACAGCGGTGGGCACTGACAGCAACGTTTTACTGCGCTACTTAAAGATAATCAGCTACAGCTTTCGCTTATCCTCGTAAAACAGCATCACGACTATTAAGAACCTGAAAGGTAGAGCGTAAAACCACAGTGCCGACCCAAACGCAGCAGGACAGGCCTTCCCCACAGCACACGTCCCGTAACCAGGTCCTACCAACCAAAAAGCCCCGCGCTGCTGCACGTTTCACACAGCGGCGCAACAAGCAACGTGCCCGGCGCCGGGAAGCGGCCGACCCCGGCTCAGGGCTCAACCCTCCCGGCTGTCAGCGACTGCCACTCCGCCCTCAGCTCCGTCTCCGGCTCTAACTCCGGCCCCGGCGCCGGCCTGTCACCACCGAGCAGCGCAGTGCCGTCCCGCCCTGCCCGTACCTGCTCCGCCGCACAGCAGCCCCGCCGCCCCGCGCTACGGCCGCCGCCATCTTGGTGCTGCTGCTGCTGCTGCGGCGCCGCGAGTCCCTCTGCGTGCCGAGCGCGAGGGCGGGCTGAGGGGCGGGGCGGGGCGGGTCAGTTGGGAACGTGGGGGGGTTGGGCTGTTCCTGAAGGGCCGTATGGGGTGTTGTGGGGATGGGGGAATGCTTGGACGTGGTGTGGAAGCGTTGGGAGAGTTAGGAGAGCGGTTTACTGAAGAGGAGGCAGTGATGTTCGCCTTAAGTGAGATGTTGAGCTTGGGCTGCGCGGCGTTGGGTGTCCCCGTGTGGTAACGCCACAGAGGAGCTTTTGTAAAGATAAGGTGGTTTCCACCCTCCTGGATGTGTCCGCAGTTGGATGCGGGGCTACCGCGTTAGCAGCCAGCAGCTAATTGCTGTTTCCTGAGTGCTGGGGGAGGTTTCAGAGGTGAATCAGTATGAGAGCGTTCCTCACGGCTGTGCAGCCATGTTTCCTCGCCTCTGCTCCAGGCTGAGGTGCTCCCAGCTGACCCGCGGTGTTTGTGATTAATGGCTGCCTGTTTTCCCAGCTGGGACCCCATGGGGTCTGCAGAACGTTGCTATTTTCACATTGCAGCAGCAGTATCTGTAAGTAGCTGATTAACTGTGTTCTAGAATCATAGAATCACCAAGGTTGGAAAAGACCCACAGGATCATCCAGTCCAACCGCTCACCTATTACCAGTAGCTCCCACTAAACCACGTCCCTCAACACCACATCCAGTCTTTCCTTGAACACCGCCAGGGTCGGTGACTCCACCACCTCCCTGGGCAGTCCATCCCAGTGCCTGACCACCCTTTCTGAAAAGTAATACTTCCTAATGTCCAGCTTGAATCTCCCCTGCCGTAGCTTGAAACCATTCCCTCTGGTCCTATCACTAACAACACGAGAGAAGAGGCCGACCCCCAGCTCGCTACAACCTCCTTCAGGAAGATATAGAGAGCAATGAGGTCTCCCCTGAGACCTTAGGTATACACAGGAAAGTCTGATAGTAACAAGAAATTTCAACAGAAATCCAGCTGCAGTTCTCACATAATGCTAATAACAATAGCCGACTTAGTTGTCAGGATGCACATTTTCCTGAGCTAACAAGGTAGGACCAGCAGGAAGCACAGCTGCAGAGATGGGATTTGATGGTGCCAGATGCGCTGCCGCCAGCATGGCAAAGGCTGGGGCTTTGATGTCTGACTGCACCCTGCAGGAGGGCCTGACCGACCGGCTTCCCCACATCTCACTCAGGAGTGACTCAAGGTTAAGGTGTAAATAAAGCATGCTTGTTTATAGCATGTTTTAATTGGTGTGGACTTAACTGATTAGTGATCTGGCCTGATCTAAGGTTGTTTTTTTTTTTTTTTCCCAGCATTGGAAGTATGTATTTACCTATATGGACCTAGAACTATTTCAAAAGAATTAGTTTATTCTAATTTGTAGAAATGTGATTTTTTTTTTTCTTATGTTGAGGTGTTGCAGTGTGTTGTACTAAGAGATTACATAGACTGCACTCAGTGGGGAATGGGACACAATTCCCAAAGTGTTCTGAGCTGAGCTAGAACTATGCAGGTGAGCCAAGTCAAAGGGTGGGATAATGCCATGATTCATAGAATCGTTTGTGTTGAAGGGGGTCTTAAAGGTCTTCTAATCCAACTCCTCTGAAACGGATGGGGACATCTACAGTTGTCTTATTAAATGAGAGAATGTAGATCTTTGAGCTTGAGAATGTCCAGGAAGCATGGGAATGAGTGAGGGAGGTGAACTCCTTCTGTGATCAAACTAATGGGAAAACATATCAATAAATGCTGCAGATTTTATGATGAAATCTAGGAAACAGCAAAGATGAGCAATGGAGTCTGTGTACACAAACACAAAAGAAGCAAATGGGGAATAAGGTCTGTGGATTGCTCAGATAAGGTGTATGACATAGGAACAGAAACGTGGGAGAAGTGTCATCAAAGTGCACGAAGCAAAGGAAGTGCTAGGAGGAAAACAAAACTAGGAAAAATACTTTCTTTCTCCAGGACTCAGAGTGATTAAGTCCCTCCTGAAAAGGTAAGATAAGTGCATATTAGCACTACATACATATATGTATGTTTTTTGTTTGTTTGTTTGTTTTCCAACAGTTCCATTTTATACACTTACACTTAAATATATACATATACGTATTAGCTCCTCTCTTTATATAGAGACAGGGAGCAAGCTAATGATGTGAGTCATGGCTGCTTTAGAGTAATTAAGAGGGAATACTTCCCTAGGCTAAATGTTAGGAAACAGGGGAACAAACCAGTTTGGAATGAGACTGTTGTGATAGAATGGAATGAAAAGAATCAAGAAAGCTAACAAAGTTGGGATTCTGTACTAAATTCTTAGGTGGGCATAGGGTTACTTTTTGTTTAACATTATGCAGTAAATAAACTCTCTTACCATGCTGAAAAAAGAAAAAGAAAAAAAAACCAACTACTTCAAAAACAGAGATTTGCATTTCTTTGTACGTGAGTTCATGCACTGATAAAAATGCACTGATATTTTCCAGCTGCAGGCACTAAATAGGTCACTGTTCCTTTCTTCTCTATATGTGAAGATGCAGTATCTGACAGAGCTTATGTTTATTTATTTAAAATCTCATTTTATCTTTGTTGATGCCTAAACCCTCTTTTTTATTTTCCAGAAACTTTGGTCATCACTGTGGAATTCCTGGTATGAGAATGCAGACGGTCAGAGTAGAGAGTGGATCCTTGCTGAACAACTGTAATCATGAAGGCAGTTCTTATAATTGTCCTAATCATCTTCACTTTGCTGTGTTCAGGTAAGTTTGATGCAGAGATGGCAAAGAGAAAGGTGACCTCTGGATGAATTATCAGGATACGGACTCTAATATGTGCTGTGGTTTTGTTTTCTTCTCTGTATAGAATCTGCAGCCAGAACTGTGCCTGTGATTTCCATTAAGATGGTATTTTTTTCTGTTTGACTGTGGGCAGATGGTGACCCTGCTGGTCTCAAGGCAGCTAGTTTCTCTGCAGTTCTGTAAAGGTTTCCTTTGAGTAGCTGATGTCCACATACTCATTAGTGCTGTCAAAATGAATCAGTATATTTTAAGCTGCTCCTCTCAAAAACTACAATGGGTTTCTTTTTGGAATCACTCTGAATTACCATCAAAACATTTGGAGTGCTAACATCATGTTCAAAGGAATAAAAGCTTCAGTGTTCTAGTATTAAACTTTGTTATTCCAGGTGTTTTTTGTTTAATGTTAAGTGGTTGTTAGAAAACCAAATGATGTTCTGAAAATGACAGTATTCAAGATATTGCAGTCTCTTCTATGTATTCAGTCCTATTTTTAAGTACATGATTCTGTCAAGTTGTATAACTGCTGGCTGCTTTCATATATGATATCCACTTTCTTCTCTCCTGAAATGCATAGTATCTTCTTGAAATGCATATGAATATATTTTATTATAGAGGGCATTTAATGAGAAGAATATAAAATAAATCTTAATACATCCAAAATGGATAATTACGGAGTATGAAGCAAAAGAGGAAATTTTGGTGGCAAGTCTGTGTCCCCTTTGGTTGTAGAATTACAGTCAGTATAGACAAACCATACCCCCAGCTTCCCTGGAAAGGAAGGTTTCACCTTCACCTCCACTTCTAATTGCATCTTTCTAACTCATTCTTTCTGCTGCACGAGTTACTAGCAACTGGTTGTTGGTTGCTTTTTAAAATTGATTAATTAGTTTTCATTTGGAGAAAGAGCTGGTAACTAAGTAGTTCTGTTGTGCTACAAACTTATAGAGTAATCCTGTGCAGGTTCTGTGAGCTCATTCAGAAATGAAGGTAATTTTTATTTAAATTCTTGCTTGATGTGATGATCTTGATAATGTTTTTCTGATACACTGTTCAGCATAGCACGTGATTATTGCTTTTCAATAACAGAATTGTCCTCACTTTCTGTCTCTGATGGTGCATGGTGTTCAGGAAGATAGCTCTCAGACACTTGATAATATGCTGGGAGGCTTCTTAGGTGCACTGTAGCTAATTCGGGTGCTTTATGTGTGCTCTTGGGTGCCTCAAAGTACACTGGGGGGCCCTGCAAAGCATCTAGGCCACACTGAGGAGCTTCTTGGATAGTCTGAGAAGCATCATTGCAGGTAATCTGAGGCACCCAAGGATGCACTGGAGGACCCTGGGAGACATCTGGGGCACACAGGGAAGCCTCTGGGGTGCTCTGGAGCACACTGAGAAGCCCTGTATTTACTCTTAGGTGCTCAGGAGAAGATCATGCCTTAATAATTGTTGAATCTGAAAACTAGTTTGTTGCTGTCAGTCAAGAGGAAGCACACAAGACTTAATGGCAGATGTTTGTTGTCTTGTGTGTGGGGCCAAAGTGCTTGGGTGCATCTCTCCTGTGCCTTCAAGTGTGCGGATGTCTGTGTGTGAGCAGAGTCTTATTTATGGAGTTAATTAAAACAAAATAGCCTCTTCCTTCCATGGGGTCTTAAACTGAGTTTGGTTTTGCTAAATCCTCTAGTTCTTGACTTTTTTTTTTATCCCACAGGGAAAAAGTTTCGATGGTGCACTCTCTCTGATCTAGAACAGAGAAAGTGTGCTGAGCTGTCCAAAGCACTGACAGCTGTGCTGCCTGTCACTAACAGCGATTCATTTGCCAGGATTTCTTGCATCAGAGCCCACAATACTTATGACTGCATTGATAAAATCAGAGTAAGTTCACAAAGATTTTTAAAACTAACTTAATTTGAATGAAATTCTCTTTTGAAGTAGAAACTGGCTAACAACTCATGGAGAATGAAATGTTATTGACATGATGGTATCTCACATAGGAGTAAGTACGTTGGATGTTTCAGAAATAATGCCTCCTACTTGTTTCCACAGAAACTAGAACAGATAAAAAGAGCACTATAACACTATTTGACAAAGCAAATTCTCTGCTACAAAGCACTATTTTTCAACATAGTCACCATCAGCTATGCATTTTTGCCAGCAGTGAACAAGAGCCTTCATACCATTCTTGTAAAAATCTATATGGGCATCTGGAATGAGGTTTGTCTTTCACATCACCAATGTCAAAATGCACCACCCACTGCCTCACTGTGCCCACATCCACTGTCTGATCTCCATAAATGTTCAGCAAGAGACAATTAATTCACTTATGCACCTTTGCCTCATACACGCTTCCATGTCAGGCACCATTTTGTCACACTGCCCCTCTGCTGCTATCAGTCTCTTCTGCCATCCTACCAACATAATAAAATAGGAGGCATTACTTTCAGAGCAGGCCTTGTACAAGGTGGCTTGAGAGATAAGAATTCCAATATGTGAGCCTTCTACTAACCATACTGTTTTACCCCAGCTTGCATTTTCCAGGAAATAAATATAAAATTGCATGAAAATAAATGGACAAATCCAAACTAATAAATTAAAGCCAGGTCAGAGCATTTTTCCTTCTTTGTAAGTTTCAATCCTACTCTGACTGGAATTAATATTTTTTTCTTCCCACTTGTCCTTCCTTGTTGATCTTCCCTGGAGTAAAGGGCAAAAGTCTTTTTCCATGTGAAGATCTTCAGTTTTAATAAAATTATGCATGAGGTCATTTGTAGGTTTAGCAAGCAAAACCAAGAAGGGCTTTCTTGTTTGTTAAAGGAATGATTTAGTTGATGTTTTCATGATAAATAGAATAGACTTGTTAATAGACTTAGTTCCAATTCTAGGTGGTTATTATAACCGGGAGAAATCTGAGGAAGGTTTTGGGGTTCTGATGGAACAGTAGGAGGAAAAAGAAGCCTTTTTATTCAGATGGCATTAGAATTGTGTTTTTGGAATGGAAAGACCAAAGAAGAGGCAGGAATTGATGTTACTGATAAAGCACAGGTATTTATTTGAAGGTAACAGCTTTAATCCTGGTGAAATGTTAGTGATTAATAGCAGAGATTCAGTTAAAAATCAAAGCAAATGCTTGTAAAAGTCTCTGGTTATTACTTCAAGAGCAGAGTTTCAGCCTGACAAACTGCTCTGTTTGTTTCCATTTGAACAAACTTGTTTTGAGGGTTTGGGTATTGTGTGTTGGTTTTGTTTTGTTTTTTTTTGTTGTTGTTGTTTTTGTGTGTGTGTGTGTTTTTTTTTAAGGTGAATAAAGCAGATGCTGCTTCTCTGGATGCAGGAGATGTTTACTCTGCTGTAAAGCTGTATGGTTTGACTGTTGTGGCAAAGGAGGTCTATGAACAGGGTACGTACATAAAGAAGAATAAATTGTGCTTCTCATTTGTCTGGTAAATTACTGTGCAGGCAAAGTTTCTTAATAATTCTTGGGGGAAAAAAAGTCTATTGATTCTTATGTACTTTGTGGGAATATGGAGATGATTAATGACATATACTTTACATTAGTATGTGTAAAACATATAACGATGAATAAAGTTGCAGTGGTGTTTTTTCTTTCCAGCCTATAGTGCTCTCACCACAATAAACTCTACCCACCCCTGCCTGCAGCACTGGTACACTGGGGTTCCACATTGTGTAGGGAATGAAGGATATTTTATCCCATCTGTGTTAATTCTTATACCATATTCCTTATTAGTATGACTGTTTATTAATTGTTCTTTAAGAGATCAGTTTCTGTTATTAATTTGTTCTCTGTTCCTCACCATAAAAAGAGAAGTATATAAGATGTTGAATGTTATGGTAAGATTCTTTAGTTGAGCAGTCTGTGCATTGACTGATGTGCAAGAGAAAGCCAAGTATATTGTAAAAAATACTTGAGGGGCATGACTCTGAGAAGGAAGCCAAATGAGCAGGTGGATGTAGGAAGAGACAAGTAAGAGAACAGTGTGAGAACAGAAGTGAGTTCTGTTTTGACTGAAAAGCCATGCAGTTGTAGTGGAATTGATATATTTCTGTCTGATCAGTAGGTTTTGAGGATAAGACAGGAGTTCTTTCTGTTATAATGCCTCAAACTCTTTGATACAAATGTTCAAAATTCCTGAGAAGCAGCTTTGTACTTTCATGCTGCACACTTTCACTGTGTAGTCAGTATACTGTAAAATTCCTGGTATGAATTCTTCAGTTTAACATGCCTAACTTTTTTTTCCTTTGCAATATTTAGAAGGGAATTGAACCCGGTGCACAGACAGAAGCTGTGGAGTTGGGATGTAGTTATTTCTGTTACATATTTTATCCTATTACAGGAAATTGTGTTTTTGCTGTGGCTGTTGCCAAACGAGGAACTTTGGATATCCAGAGGCTACGAGGTGTGCGCAGCTGCCACAATGGAGCCAGATGGACCTCAGGCTGGAATATTCCACTTGGATTTCTCCTTGCAAGGAATGATCTTTCCTGGGATGAGGCACAACCCCTGAGCCAAGGTGTGTGATAACTGTAGCTGTGTCTCTGCCCTCAGCAAGAGCGAGTGAAACAGGGGCAGAAGTGTTATCAAAATAGGAAAATCTTGGTGTTTTGTATACAGAGGGAACAAGGCTTTGCAATACCAAGCCAGCACAAAGATGGTTTTAAACAAGAAAAATCAGATCACTCTGTTTGCAACAAACATTTCAAATTTGCAACTTAGACAGTGAAGCTGCGTTTGCCAAAGAGTAATTTTTTTCTAAAGCAGCCTATTACCTTACTTACACTCATATGTTTGACCTCTTTCTTCCATCTTTTTGTATTTGACTTTTCCCCTCTTTTTTTTCTATACAGTAATCAGTGAGTATTTCAATGCAAGTTGCATCCCTGGAGTTGGTGTTACTGCTCCTCAGCTGTGTGCTCTCTGCCAAGGACAAAAGTCATATGTCAGAGACAAGAACCACTTCTGTGAGACCAGCAGCAACGAACCCTTCTATGACTCTGATGGAGCCTTCAGGTAAACTGGCTGTTTTGAACTTAAACTGAATTCACCTTCGGGGAAAAAGAGCTAGTGAGGAGAGAAAAGGCAGATGACGGGTTAATGGGATGGCATTTGTCTTCCTGCAGGTGCTTGAAGGATGGAGTTGCAGATGTTGCCTTTTTAGATCACCTGACAATTATGAGAGCCACAGGTAGTCCTAAAAACTCGATTCCTTTTAACCTTTCTCTGTACTATTTCCTGCATGGAAGTTTGGGAGATGTTTGTATGTTTATTGTTGGTCACTGTAAGCAGTTCAGTGGTATTTCTTGGCTATCCACACAAGTCAGAGGAAAACAGAAAAGGAGATTGATAGGATGGGAGCAGACAGGCATTTTAATGCAGATGATTCCTTTAGCCTAGTCTCTGATGCAGTTGCGGTTGATTTCCTGACTGTTAAGATTCCTTTTAACTTTCAGTGTTTCATGAATGTCCTGTTATTTTAGAGTCAGAACAACAAGAATATGAACTCTTATGTCCTGATGGGACTACAGCTGAGCTGAGCAAATACAACACCTGTAATTTGGGCAAGGGACCTGGCCGTGGCATCATCACCCGCCACAACTTCCAAAAGATCACCAACAAATTTCTTACCATGATCCAAGTGAGTGGATATTATAAGCTGTATATCTCTGTACACTGGTTTTTCTTCTGTATTTGTGTGGAGCTCACCACTCAGTTTGCCTTCTTTTCTCAATAAATTTGAAGTTATTGTGAACAAAACATTCAAAATGAATTGTTCCGGAGGAAGGTCCTGTACTAGCTTCTGAAGGGAAATTTTACTTCTCTCTGAATTGTTCTTCTGTAGAAGAGTGGAAATAAGTTAGGAAGAGGAATGTGTCAGAACACCCAAATTGGAAAATAGGTGGTTATTTTCATTCTGCTCTAAAGCTTCTATGAATTATAAGAGATACGCAGGTTCAGGCAAGATTCAACTTTGAGAGGGCGAAGGAAACAAACTATAGCATCTGTTATATTGATATCCAGGAATCTATGTGGATCTGAACTTGAAATGTATACTACTTAAAGATGTTAAGAAGCCACTCCACATTTAAAATAACACAGCAAACTGTATAATTCCAACCCAGTGAGTTGTGTTATCTTGTGAACTTGGGCAGACAGTAGAAGTACAAATTCCCTTCTTTGAGAGATCTTCATATGTCCTTGTCAGTGTGCTTACTGGCACATATCTTAGCTATGTTCCCCTATGCATAATAGTGGCTTTGAAGTAATATTCCCAGTACATTCTTCAGTGCATGCTACTCTTCCATCAAGCTGGACAGATTTCCTTTGCACATAGTACTTTCCCACTGTAAAACACAAGACATCTTGCACCCAGTTACTGCTGTTATCTATCACAAATGTTTCCCATTCAGCCAAAATACTTTAGCTGCCCTTATAGGGCAGGAGACATTGAGCACAGCCCAATAAATTTGGATAACTAAGATGAGAGACAAAATTGTTGAAAGAAAGAAACTGAATCTCAAGCAATATGTTTGTAGGACTGTAACCATCCAGTCACTGTGGTACCTATGGGCTTTGTCATAGTGTGATGGATACTGGGACCCTGAACACTATGTTACAGGCCATTGGTATGATGGGTGAAGGGGGTGAGGCTGCCTGTCACTAAAAGGATGAGATAAATATTTGCAATTAAATTGTTGCTTTTGTCCTAGCGTCTCTTTGGTCAAAAAGGAAAGGAAAGAGCCAGATTTGAACTTTTCAATTCATCATCCTTTGGAGGGAAGAACCTTCTCTTTCGAGATGCCACTCAGCACCTGCAACTTCTTGAGGAACAGCTAGAAATTGCATATGTCCTTGGTCTGGATTATGTAGCTCTCCTTAAGGGACTAGGTCATGAAGGTAAGAAGCCTTCTGGAGGGCTGTAGATGTCATATGTTATTCCTCCCTGCCAGATCCAGATGAATAAACTGAAGCATCCACTTAACGAAGAGCAAATTGTTGTATGATTGACATGGTCTCACTGTGCTCCTTCTAACGCAGGGAGCTCCTTGGGCAACAGTGTTGTGCGCTGGTGCTGCATCAGCAATGCTGAGCTTCGCAAATGTGAGGAGTGGGCACTGAGCATCAAATCTGACCCATTAGTCTGCATCCAAGCAACTTCCATGGCAAGCTGCATTGAAATGATCAAGGTAGGAGAGTGTCTCTGAGAATATGATAATCTGCACAGAGTGCATGTTCAGTTTAGGCAAGGACAAGAGGAAAAACACTTGTACACTAGAGGAAGCAGTGGGAATGACAGGCAATTTATGCAGGAGAATTTCCAACCAGTGGAGAAGTACAGCTGCTTGGTTATATAATTAATGCAAGTGTTATTTTCTGTAATGCTGTTGACAGAGTAGTGAGGCTGATGCAGTCACTTTGGATGCAACCCATATCTACATTGCAGGGAGGTGTGGATTGGTGCCTGTAGCTGCAGAATGTTATGGTAAGTTCTTGTGTGCACCATATAAATATAGTTAAATGTTGCCACACTGTGATGTTTTGTTATGGAAGCAGGGGTCAATGCCCATATCCAGGTACTCTTCTCAGCTCTTCCACTAACTGGCTGTAGCTTTTGGTCTGTGTATTATACCTCTTCTATAAAAGGGGTGGAGATGCTGACATGGTTCAAGAGGGGATTACAAAGTTATAAAGTTTTTTTTTTTGCGGGGCTGCCATGCAATGGGAATGACAGCAGTTGCAAGATCCTTAATGGTTGTCTCCTCTCTCCAGGGCTGGATTGTGCTCCAGCTGATGAGAGCACAGAGGAAATTAGCAAACTTCATCTAAAGCACAAAGGTAATGAGAGAACTTTGAAAAGGCAAAATATTTTGATTTTCCTGAGGCTGCCTCTTAAGATTTCTGTTGGGATATATTTGCATGCTCATTTGGGAAAGAAATTGCACTGCATTTTCAGAAATTTCACTACAATGTATGGCTGCTAAGGTAGGAGCTCTGTGGCTAAGCAAAGAATGCAGATGATCCACCATTAACTGAAAATATAATTAGGGGATGAGGGAGGGAGGACGGGGGTTCTGGAATACTTCATTGCCTTTGTATAACTGGTTGCTGTCATTGTTTTGTAGGACTGTCACCTGTTTATGCTGTAGCCCTAGCTAAGAAAGCTGCCAAACAGATTAACATCCATAACCTTCGGGGAAGGCGATCATGCCACAGCCACTTGTATAGTCCTGGAGGATGGCTACTTCTTTCCAGATATACAGTGGGAGCTCTGGAAGATATTACTGAAAATTGTGATATTGGATCTGGTATGGGTTGCTCTGGGTTATCTGTGAGGAGACTCTTGAAGTCTGAAGCCTAACATTTGGAAGTAAGATTGAAAAGAGTCTGTGAGAGTAGGGTAAAAGGATTTCAGTTTTGTATATCATTGAAGATGTTCATATTTGCTATGATGTGTTCCTGTATAGAGCTCTCTTTTCAGTAGTCGATTTCTCGACTACATGTGATGTTCCTTAGATGCACCATAAATAATAGTGGTATCTGTGCCTACATGCAAAAGGAAAGATGATCAAAAGACACAGGTATCCACTCCTAGAGCTTAATGTGTATGATTCTGTGTTTTAAACTTTAAAAGTCAGTCAATTTCTCTGTTTCTTTCTTGATTAAGTTGTCTAATTGATTAGTTCAAATGAATTTGTTTACGTTCTGGATGTAAAAAGTTTTGGGTTAGGTTTATCTCAAAATATTTTAGGAAGACCAAGTACAGTTGTAATAGAAACTCTTCCTCCCCTTGTTCTTTTAACCCACTGTCTTGCCTCTTGATCCTGCTGTGTTGTGCTTGTGCTCAACTTAGTTTATCTGTGTGGCTACTCCAAAACTTGAAGGATGATGAGCCCCTGTTTCTATCTCTCATGTTATAGGAGAAAAAAAGTGCTGTTCCAGTTGTTAATGCTTTCAAGAGTTAGGTATGAATAGAGATGTTGCCACCTACTGTATGATCTACGTAGTTAACAACTTCTTACACTACAGCTTGGTTTGCTTTCTTGAGTTCTTAGTTCTATCATTTTTCCATTTTAATTTACCCCCAAAAAAGTTGATGAGTCACTTGGCCAGCAAGTGCAGTCTCAAAGGTTGTTGAAACAACTATTCCTCTTATCTGAGTATGTGTGATTCTTCATGCCTTTAGGCCTCTTTCCATCAGAGTTATTAAGATGGAATCCAGTTCTTCCAATGGAAGAAGAGATTTTGCTCTAATTTCACCTTAGTTTTTTTTTCTGCTCAGCTTACCAGAATTACTTTTGGAAAGGCTGCATGCCAGGAGCAGATGGAAATCTGTGCAAAGTGTGCATTGGAGACAGTGAGGTGGAAGGAGCTCGAGTATCCAGCAGATGTGCTGCCAATCACAATGAACACTACTATGGCAATATGGGAGCACTCAGGTAATACTTTTTTCCAGAATCAGAAACATGGAGCAATAGCCAGAATTGACTTATTATTTTGTTGATGGTTTTCTATGGAAATTTTTTAATTTCTTAAGCAACTGGCTATATTAACTATTGGTAGCATGTATTTTGCTTAGGCTGCAGTTGCCATGACTTGTTCAGATGGTTGGTGACTTTCTTGTAACCTTTTATGGAGCAAGACAATGCTTCAAACGTGTAAGGTGTGGAGCACTGGAACAGACTCATGTAAGAGATGAAAGATACTTAGAAGATCAGAGAGTAGAGATGATGTAGTAACAAGCACTCTAGGCTTGTTAAGCAGTGATTAGACTGGATTATTATTATATATATTTTTTTAAAAGAAGAAATAGTTGAAGATCATGTAGAAAAGGAATATTAACAGTGAAAGTGCTGTCACAGCTAAATGAACTACAGATATTCTGAATTCTCCTTCCTGGCTAGGCACAGATGGGGTTACTTGGATGTGCTGCAGCTCTGACTTGGGAGCTGCTTTAAGAGATAAATGAAGTTGTGTTGACAAACACACGAATGGTGCCCACTGAGATCTATACTGACATCGCTAACTTGTTCCATATAATGACCAAATAGCTTCAGATGAAGATATTTTCAGCTACTCCTGTTTTAGCTTCCAGTGATTGTCTAAGACTCAGTCATTGTAATGGCTGTCTCTGGTAACTTTTTATTGTCTTCCTATACTAGGTGCTTAGTTGGCAATCCCAGTGGAAGAAGCTTTGGAGATGTAGCTTTTCTGGAACACTCAAACCTACTCTGGAATATAGAGAGTGAGATGCAGATATTTTCTTCTAATTTAACAATGTAAACTATTCACATTTTCCACTCTGTGACTGTGACCCCTAAGGATCAGTGTGTACGGATTTAAACTAAATCCATGAAATTGTGTTTGAAACTAGAAACATATAGGAACTTTCCTGCATGTAGATGTTATGGTAAAGCTTTAAATGCAGGTACTGTTCAATTTCAGAGAGGAAAGAGGAAGAATCACTGAGTGGAGAGATGAATGTGCTGGCTGGGGACAGGAGGGGAAATCATCCTTGAAGGCTCTACTAGTTTTTGGAAAGCTCTAAGCTATAAAAAGTGACTTCCCACTGGACCTTCTCACATAGGCATATACAGAGCATGTACCTGTTGTTTTCAATGTCTAAAGAATGAAAACAGCAAACAAGGAGATACTATTGGCTACTTGTGCTCAGAGATGTTCTATAGCTTTATCATGGCAACTTCTTGTTGTTTCACAGGTACTTGCTGGAGTAAATAGTCCAGGTACTTTAGTAGGTAAAAATACTGCAAAGTATTTCATTGTTGCAGTGAGAAGTGAGTAACTTCTTCCAGGAAATACTGAAGTTTGCAAAAGTCTAGCTGGCTGTATTTTGTTGGTGAAAATGGTTTCAGTTACAGTAGCTTAAATCCTCTCAATTTCTTAAATTACTCCTACTGGTCTAAGAGCCAAAATGTGCTACTTTTCATAGAGGTGAGAATACAGGGACCCCCCATTTTGTTCAGCCTGGTAAAGTACACTGAAATTCAACTCAGGTCAATTTCAGTAGCAGGAGAAGAAAACTTTATGAAAGAGAAATATCTGTAAAATCAAGCAGACACATAAGAACCTGGAAACCCACAGGAATTCATGCAGTGGTGAGCAGTTTATTTGAGGAAGCATAGACAAGCAGTATGAATTTCTTTGTATTCAGGAAGTGATCAGATGAAGATGAGACATAAGCTGTTTGTGTGCTTTAATGTTACTCTTTGCCTATCTTCTAAAAACTAGCCTTAGTTCACTGACCCATTTCCTCAGAGAAAACACCCAACTATTCCTTTTGCATTCTCAACAGATGAATATACAGCATGTGTATTCACTCAGCTCCTTCCTCTCTGTTTTTCTCACTGCTTGAGATTCACCTTGTCTTCTGCATTTGTTTTTCAAAAGGATTTTCCTTCACTTCATCTTCTTTTCAGATCTGAAAAGCTCTGGTTGGGCAAAAGGTTATACAGCTGTTGACTTTGAACTCTTGTGTCCGGATGGAACGCGTGCTGCAGTCACAGAATGGGCTGGCTGCAACCTTGGTCCTATTCCTCCCAGCACAGTCATGACTCGACCAGTCACTGTCACTAAAATCTATGACTTTCTAATGAAATCTCAGGTAAGGTAGATAATGAGGGAAAAAGTTAACGTGTTAAGACTTGTTATATACAATTTCTGAAAACCTTTTCATTATCAAGAGCTTTAAATATATAAAATGTCTTCAGATCTGATGTGACAGAATTAAGAATCTGTGTAGGAGATTGAGAAAATCATTATTTGAGCTCTCCAAAGGCCATTGGTTGCCATCACACTTCTTCTGAGAAATAAGCCACTCCAAAGCCATATCTTTTTTTGTATGACTGTACTGGATAAAAATATATCTGGTTTTTTTTTTTTTTTTTTTTTTCCTGGTAAATCCTATTATAAAACTGATGGTCATTAACGTAACCTTGCTATTTCTAGTCCAAACTGTGGAACCTTTTTTCTGTTTAGGAATTTCTGGAGACCAAGGTGGATTCTGAATTCCATCTCTTTCAGTCACAAAAATATGGTGAGAGTGATCTGCTTTTCAAAGATGCTACTCAGTACCTTGTTCCTGCAACTCACATGAGCTATCAGGAAATCCTTGGAGAACCTTTCTTTCAGCTGGCAGAATCAGTGTTTAATTGCACACCTGCAGGTAAAGTCAAATTCTTCATTCTGAGTTAGAGAAAAATGCAAAGCAGTAGGAAATTTTCTGTACGTAGGCATGGCCCTTTGTTTTACATTCACTTCAGAGGTAATTTCTACATAACCTTGTTAGTGGAGTATAATATTTGGAGTGTGTTTAGACCTCTGGCAACTGCTATCTGTAACCACTGAAAGCAGAGGTCTGTGGGAACAATATAACCAATACATGTCAGAGCAAATACAAAGTTATTGATGTGGAATGGTTTTACTTCCACTCAGAAAGTTTTTCTTCCTATCCCAAAGATCTGGGCATGTCAGGCTTGGGGAAAATATTCAAATTTTATATTCAACCTCAGAATAAGTTAAAAATTCCATTTTAAAAAGAATGCACTAAAAATTACACCAAAGAACTCAAGTTAAAAATCTTTTTGTACTTAAAGGACAGTTTTTTAATTATTAACTACTGAAAGCTATATGAAATTTATATTTAGTTTTCACTAGAACTGAAATGAAAGTACTTATGAGTCAGGACCGAGCTGTTAGGGGACCTAAAAATCTTGTTGAAGTAAAAGCAGATTGCACAATGAATTAATGCCTGAGAGTTTAGTAGTTGTTAAAGAACTGAGATTCAAAAGGGGAATTTCACCTCTGTTCAGTTTTAGTGAACAGTAGCTAGAGAATTTGTAACATTCAAAGCTGATGGAATCTTTAAGGATGTATTCTCTTACTGGTTTGTAGGCATCTTAGACTTTTGCAAGCAGGATATCTGTGCCTCCTCATCGGTCTGAAAGCTGCTATAAAGGCTTTACAAGGCATGAGCCTCCACCAATGCTGAAAACAAAGAAATAGACTAGTCCTGCCTACCCAAAGCAATCTGCAAGGAAACTGTCACCTCTGGACATGTATGCTGATTATTCTTTTGTCATAATCTTTGTTTTCTTTAGAAAGTAGATTTTATGTTTATGATCATGTAATACTACTCCTATGTCATCCCTTTGTTGTTTGAAGCATAGAATTGTGTGCAACAGCTTTCACCAGTCCTCGTAACCCACAGCACAGAATTAGGATCAGCAGTTCTGATTGCCTGCTATGGAGAATTCAGCATTTTTGGGGGAATAGCAAGGTCAGTGCAGTGGATTAAAGTATGGACTGTCACAAATGGCACAGGTTAGTGGGTAGCAGTTTAACTTGCATTTCCTATTTTATCTTTTAAAATTCATTTTCATGCAAAAAGTTCAACTAATATTTTGGTGGTTGCAGAATTATCTTCCTATGTGATAGATTTCTGTATGATAGATTGTTTATGTAATCACTATCAGAAGTCTCTTCTGCTTTTAACTGGAAATAATATATTTTTTTCTTTTTTAATCAAGGATTTATACTGGTAAATCAAAATCTTTTTCTCTCAAATTCATGTTGTAAGACATAAAGTAGCAAGCAGACCTGGATTCTTGCAGCCTTAAATTGAAGGGAAGCAATGGATATGATAGTTGCTCCAAAAGTAATGCCTCCTACTTTATTTTGTTGGCCCTTGATGTTAGGTTTGGATGTTGGTGGTACAGCAGTAGAGGCTGAACCTTCCCACATCCTATTGCTGTGTGATGGATGGCAGCAGAAAGGAATTCTTGACAGAATGGTGTCTGATAAGAAGCAAAGGTGTATAGCTGAATTCCTCCATGTGGGAAAAAATGGCACCCTTGACATTCATCAATGCTTGCTGAATATTTACATAGACTGCACAGTGGCTGTGAGCACAGTGAGGGATGGGTGGTGTGTTTCAGCAGTGGCAACAGTGGGTCAATTCCACTGGTGTATGTTTTTACAAATGTGGCATGCAGGCTCTTGTTCATTGTTGACAAAAACACTCAGCTAGTAGTGGTGACTGTGTTGAAAAACTGTTTCATAGCTGAGAATTTGTTCTATCAGATAGTGTGATTGTGCTCTTAGTAGCTGTTATTTCCATGAAAATAAAAAGGAGGCATTACTTCAAAGCAACATCCATTCTTCTCAGAAACACAAATCATTACTTTATAATAAGTACACTGATGCTTCTGATGTCAAATTTTTAATTAATTAATTTTTAATTAAACTGAACTCTTTTTTTTTTTACAAGCCGAAACTGTCTGAATGTGATATTAAGACTTTTGAATACAGTGCATCATATCATAGTTTTGTTTTGCCTGTTAGGGGAGAACTTTGGATGGATGGCTACTCATGGGCAGGGCTCATTTCAATTTCCAACGAGTGTTATGACCTACCTCCACACTGCCTGAACCAGACAAATTGAATTTAGTTAAAATAAATATAACGGCACAAAGACCAAAACAGCCAGCATATGCCCAAATGTCACAGTCTTGCTTCGTGAATACAGTTGTATTAACCATTGCTAGCAATAAGAGGTGCCATAAGTGAAGGCTGGCCAGCTGCAATAGAGAAAGTATGCAAGAAAAAAAACCCCACAAAACAATAAAACCCCTCAATCAAGCAAAACTAGGCAGTAAGAACCCGAAAGACTCAGTTGTAAAATACACTGGTAGAGTGACCTGTTTTTAAGCAGTTTATTCCGTGCCTAGGTTGCCTTTCCTTTGATTTACATTAGCCTTTTTCATTTCCTTTTTTCGCTTCCTGAGAAAAAAATGAATTGCACTCTGAGCAGCACAAAGGGTTTTGGATTCAGTGCATCATAGTTGAGGCTGTTCTCTAACTCATTTGTCCCTCATTTGTCATTAACTAAGCAAATAGCAGAGAGCAGATGCAAATCCAAACTCGTGTACCTTTAAGAAAGAAAGGAGAGAAATAAAATGTAGACAAGTTCCAGGATGGTAACAGAACAACACAACCTTCATGTGTGGCATTACAGCCGGGAAGCTGTAGCTCTGATGAGGTGGAGGAAGAGCAGGATCTACTTGAGGTCTTTGGAGCATTCCTTTCCTTTCTTTACTGGAGCTCACATGCCACCTGCAGGACTCGCATAACATTGCACTTCAATCACAGGAACAGCTTTGCCGAGAACAGAATGCTGCTGAAAATGTAGCTGCTGAAAATGTAACATACTGAAAACCTGGGTTATAGGTGTGATTTAATGGGCTGTTAGTGAAAGAAATTACTTTGTTACAGCTCTTACAAAAGCTTGTGGAGCCCTGTTTGATGCTCCTATGCTTCAACTTTGAGTTAGAAGCAGTGGTTTGATTTCTTTCACAGATTGCATTATATGTGAACCGTGGTTCTGCTTCAGCTTTGAAATAGTTGGTTCCAAACCTAGGGGGAATGGTCCGTGCTGTCTCGATGTTACTATTATGAAGAGTAGTTTGGTAGTTCAGAGTGTGCTTTAAATACCACAGGTCCATTTCTGTTCCTTTTAAAGTATGGCTATAGATAAATCAACACTGGAATTGCTGCTGCACACCTCACTAACAGCCCACACAGTCAATTAATGCTGTCGGTCTCTTTTGAGATTTGACCTTATCCCCCATGTCTGTAGGACAGATGTACTGTGTGTATTTACTAATACAAGCCTGAAGAAGGCTTAACAAACAAAAACAACAGAAAGGGTCTCAGAAAAATTTATTTCCATAAATTAAAAACACACACAAAAGAAACAGTAAAATTTTAAATTCACACAAAGTTGAACAAATAAAATGCCAAGAGCTTGATGGAGGCTAATGGCACAGGCGTACAAATTCTCACTGAGCTATTTGTTGACATGATAGCATTGTATAGACATTTAATCCACAGTTAGCATCCATAGCCTAGAAAAGCACCTGGAACATAATATGTCAAAGGCCCAACCCATATGAAATACAATAAATGAGAACCGCTTGCAGAAGATCATATCCAGCAAACATTAGAACTCAAATGTATGGAGCTACAAGGCCAGGCAGGCAAACTTTCTAACGTACATTAAGTAGTCTTAGCTGCTCCAGTTGCAGCATGATGAAAATAAGATTTTATGTTTTTAAGAAAAAAAAAACTAACCCTCATAATCAGCAAATTTAGTAAAAAGGGCTGCCTGTCTGTGAAAAACAACTGCTATGTGATGGTACATGCCAAAAGCTTTGCATTTCTTCTCAAGCTGCTCTAGACATCATTCTGTGAGCAAAATGTACAAATATCTTTCCATGATGTTACAAGAAAAAAAATTACTGGAGTAGGCTCTCTATGAAAAGAGAATTGTACATATTCTTCCGCTAGGGAAGTATTTTAGACTCCCAAACATACATTCTCTGTACTTTTTCCTTCAATAACCTGAGACAGAAGCAGCTCAGAGTGGCAGTTACCTACCTTTGCACCATCATCACTCCCAGTGTACAAGGAACAGCCACAAGGAATGAGGTTGTTCCATGAGTGTTGTAAATAGGGACAGAGGAGGGAGAGGGAAAAAAGTGCGCACGCATGACTGATATCTGTTCCTGAGGAGGATGTGGGGAGGAAGAAAAAAAGATGCTTTGTCTCAATTAGCTTACGACTCTATCATACAAATAGTAAACCAAATCAGAATAATCCACAGAATCTAAGACCTGGGACAATCCAGGTAACTGCTACATCATTTTCTTACTCCTCCAATTGTTGTAAATAAAAGGGGATCAAGTGTTTTCTTTCTTATGCCCCTTCTGCTGTAACTATTAAAAAGTTAACAAGTGTTATTTCAAAGCAATTAATTAGAAACAAGATAGAGCAAGGAAGCAGACAAAAAAAAAAAAAACAAAAAACACAAAACACAAAAAGTTCCATATTTTGAAGCACATCAGAAGCCTGAACTTTGCTTGGACCCAATTCCCTCCCTCTCACTCATACTGTTTTCTTAAAAGCCCCAATGAGGTTACAGCTCAGTTCTGTCACAACAGTAAAAGCCTCCCATTTTAACAGAAGGTTAATTAACACTGTGTCACAATCCCATTCTACAGCATAAAACCATAAAAATATATCTATCTATCTATCTGTGTATATATATCACTCTTGCAACAGCTTCCATCCAGTCAATATTTGGGTAATAAGCCAACATAGAGACAGTTTCAAATATTTTTTGAAAGGTAGTTGACCTTTATTTTTTTTTATTTTTTAGGGATTTCTATAAAAATAAGATCAATTAAAATGTTCCCCAGCAGCTCAATTAGGTTAACCAGACCTTGCTGCTGAAATAGCACATCAATATGTTTGAAGTTTACCTATCTTATTTTATCCTCAAAATCCAAATGACCACTACTCTAAGTCTGTACCTCTCTCTTTTCCTGAGTCCTCCTGATTAGTCAGCCTCCAAAACAAGAATGTAAACTGTCATTAGTCCCAGCATATAAGCTGAGAGCAAAACAAACCCAGAATACATTTATTTCAAGATTCAGGCACAGAGAATGTAATATTCTTCTTCCATCTCTTCACTTTCCAAACTCTGGAATTCAACAGATTGCTTGTTAATTCTGAGTTTTCTGTTAGGCCAGTAGCAGAAAGGGCAGAGCAGCAGAAGATAGTGATGGTATTTTTAGTTTTTCATTTATTGGCACTTAACCAAAATACCTGCCCACTAGATACTTGCTTATTCTGAATGTGCATATAAACTTTGTTATATGGATAGGTAAGTAAGAAAGTGCAAGTTTTAAGTGACAAATGAAAGAATAAACTAGTTAAATTTGAACATCCCAGCAAAAGACAGCTTCACATGAATAACTTTTATAGGCACTAAAGGACAGAAATTACCTGTACTGCAGCTAGCATTCATTCTGAATTACTCTTCAAGTAAGTTTAACAGAAATTATCCCAGAAGCAAGCGCTCTTCTCTTAAAATTTATGGCTGAGAAATTGCCCAGTGCTGCATCATCTAATGACAAATGTCCTCACTTAATGAAAAAAAATGTTTTTCACATCCTAGGAGGATCTTTGTACTACTGCATACAACAGTGTGTACGTAGAATATCTGATTGGGAGCTATCTGAATTGCAAACCTAAAATGGGTGTTAAAATCAAGCTAATTATATTTCTTGAAATGAAAATCACTTCAAAATGAGTCTTGAAAGTTTTGCTGGTGCTTCTTGTATGCAGTAGTTCAGCTCAGCTAATAAAAAGCTCTACTTGCATACCCTGTGGTTTAATGTACTCATGGGATTTGCCTCTGGAGAAGGGGTATAAAGTTATCAGCCAATCT